CAAACATTGTCATTGGAATCATCATTTTCGTTCGTGTTGTTAATTCGTTTATTATTGATAAATATGGATGATACACGACTCAGCTGCGTTAATGGCTTCACTCTTCTTTCGTATTCCACATTCTCATCATCTGCTTTATATGGCCATTGCTTAATTATCATTTTTTATTATACATTTCTATTTAAAAATTTAAATTTTATTACACATTTCTATTTCTTTAAAATTATTCTATTTAAATTTTCTATTTATTACACAATCTATTTAAAAAACAATGAATACAATCTAAACCCAATAAACACCTTCATTTTCTTGAAATGCAGTTGTTTACCCATGTAACGCGACTCACACACATATACATCTTTGTCATCAAAACCCTGCAATCATTATTGTCATTATTCATTTGCGAATAAACCAAACAAANTCCACTGTGACCGTGTCAAAGTACGGCGTCAGAAATACTTCCTGCAAGTTCATAACACATCATAACAATAACAATAATGAATAAATGACAAAACGAACGTTCTCTATGAATTTCCTGGTGGCCAGATGGAAGGTTTCTTCAGGGCGATAGCACCAGATGCCTCGAATGAAGCAGTGACCTTCGTCGTCCTTATAGATGCGTTCTATCCGCATAATGTGTCTTCTTTTCACATCGTTATCAGAATCGCTATCATTAGACGATATGATGTACGCGTAATCATTCTTGCGATATACCAGTCCACCTTGACCTATCCTCTCCAACTCCACGTCACCTTCCTTAAATCAGCACGTTGCACATCAGTCTATCCTTTCCTCTAGTTAATGAAGTAAACGAACCGCAGAGGTGCCGATGTCCACTTGGTGCTGGTTATCGATCATGTCCGAATGCACCTCGACGGGAATCTTCTTCTTACGCAGCTCGTCCACTGCGTACAATAATCTCTTTTCGGTGAACAATCTCGCCGACGATATCAAAGTGTTTCGCGTCAATTCGTCACGAATCTTGATGTAATACATCTGCAGTTCCACTGAATCTTCGAATATCTGCAACCACTCCCTTATTATCAGTCCATTCCAGTTGCATATTCAAATAATAACCTGCGAATCCGATCGACTGTTCTCACGCGATGCATCGAACAATGCGAATAAATCATCTTGGAAACGATCGAGTCTCCGATATCGACCCTTAATATTCATTTATTATTACAATAATACAAATAACACAAAAATAAATATAAACCTTATCGATGTTGATACGTATATCATCCAATGAGAACGGTATCTGCTCCTCATTAATACCCTTTCGACGCATCATCGATGCGATCTCAGCCAATGAATCCGAATAGCA